TCATGCAAGAAGATATTCAGCTCCGTGATCTCTGTGGAACTAGTCCCATTAATAATGACACCATCAACAAACACAACAACAAAATTTTTAGAAGAAGCTGATTTCTTGTATAAGAGAGAATAATTATGCAAGGAATGAACATAACCCCTGGAATAAAGAGTAGTGGCCAATTTTGCATACCACTGTCAACTAGCCTGTTTCAGGACATATAGAGATTTTCTTAACTTGCAGACAACTCCAGGTGTATCCACTACTAAACCAGGTGGTAATTGCATTATACCTCTTCCTCCAAATCACCATGAAGGAAGGCATTGTTTACAACAAGCTGGAAGATGTCCCAGTGTTTCTTAACTGCAGAGGCTATAAGTGCTCTAACAGTAGTTATTTTCACAATAGGGGAATAAGTTTCTGTGTAGTTAATCCCAGCGTGCTGGGTGTAACCTTTTACAACTAACATGGCCTTGAACCTCTCTATGCTTCCATCAGCCCTATGTTTAACTTTGTAGACCCATCTACAACCTATGGCTTTCTTTCTAGGAGGCAAATGAACCAGGTGCCAAGTGTTATTTTCATGCAAAGCCCCAAACTATAAAGACATAGCCTCTTGTCAGGCAGGGTGCAAGGCTGTCTCTTCATAAGAAGAAGGCTCACTATCATGACAAATATTTTGCACAAGTTGTTGACTGTCTGGGAGTAATGAGGTAAGAGATACGTGATGATGGTTGTAGAATAAATCACTAAGTGACATAGGTGAAGCAGTGGTAACAGAAGGTTTTAAGTTTGGATTGGAGCGTACATAATCCTTCAGGTGGACAGGCAATTTATGGTGTCTAGATGACTTCCTGGTGGCTATATGAGAGGCAATAGGATTAGGAGTGGAAGAAGGAGACGATGATGAAATGGAGGAAGGCAGAAGAAATGGGGAACCAGATGAGGATGAAGGCATGTCAGATGGTGAAACATGGGTTGTAGACCTATCAGTAAGGTGGTCAGAAGTAGTAGATTGAGAGGTCAAGTCATCAACAAAAGGAACATATTGAAAAACAGATGGCAAAGGTGCAGAATTAGGAGAAAGATCAAAAAGAAACAAATTTTCATGAAAAACTACATCTCTGGAAACAGAGATTTTCTTGATGAGTAGGCTAAGGACCTTGTACCCTTTTGTGTCATATGGGTAACCTGCAAAGACATGAGGTGTTGCTCTTGGTTCAAATTTGGTTATGTGGGGTTTAGGAGTGGTAGGAAAACACAAAAAACCAAAACTTCTAAGGTGAGAATAAGTAGGCACTCTTTTGTGCAAACATTCAAAATGAGTTCTATTTTTTGGATGAGTAGTAGGCAATCTGCTGATAATGTAGGTGTCAGTTAATATGCATTCTCCCCAATACTTTAGGGGTAGTTTGGATTGGAACAAGAGTGCCGCAGTCTCAAGGAGGTACTTGTATTTCCTTTCTACTGCCCCATTTTGTTGAAGTGTATAGGGGCATATTTTTTGGTGAAAAATTCCCTTTGGAGTGGAAGAAGTGGGTTAGCTCTGTACTAGTAAACTCTAGGCCATTATCTGACCTAATACATTTGATTTTGGTTTGAAACTAGGATCAACCATAGACACAAAGGTTAATAATCTGTAAAGCACATTGCTTTTATAGCTCAAAAGATGTGTCCAAGTGCACCTACTGTAGTCATCCACTTAGGTAATGAAATATTTGAAGTTATCATGGGTAGGTTCATGATAAGGTCCCCACAAGTCAACATATAGGAGATCAAAAATGTTATTAGTGGAACTGGTTTCTGAGGAAAGGATAACCTGGATTGTCTGGCCATGGGGCATATTGAAAAAAGAAAAGGTTATTTTGGTGAAAAATGGATTGGTATCGATGGTATACCTCTCATCTTCACAAAGGGCACATGCCCTAGCCTATTGTGCCATAGAAAGTCCATATTATTTGTGTTACGCAAAATAGAATGTGAAGCAGACCACTGAGTTTTATTGCAATTGGAAGTATTTACAAGTAAACACGAGTGAGTGTTAGTGTGTGAATCATTTACAGGTGAGTGAATGTGAGAGTGCAAGCTATTTACATCACATGGAACAGGCAAAGCAGAGTACGGAGTCAAAGGAACATAATTTGAAACAGAAACTGAATTCTTCAGACAACTGGAGCAGAGAAGGTATAATCCATCTTTGATCTTACTAATCTCCAAAGGCCTCTTCACTGAAGGGGCCTGCAGAAGACATGAAGAATTAGTGAATGCAACCAGGCTTTTTAAGTTGTGATATAAGGCAATTAATAGTTATGAGATTATACTTGAAGGAAGGCGCCTAAAGAACTCTATGTAGTATTATCTGAGATGCAAGTGTTACAGTTCCAATTTCTGTCACTTTCACTCGATAGCCATTTGGCAAGGTAATTAGCAAAGGATATGAGAGTGTTTTAGTGTAAGATAACAGGGATTTATTAAAGGTCATATGGTTGGATACTCTGAAATCTAAAATCCAGAGGCCAACACTTGGTGTAAAACATCTACATGACAGTAGCCCAAAATCAATAAATAAGACAGAGGCCGAACAAGCAAATATACCTGCAAAATTGGCAGTTCCATTGGTTAAACCCGGACTGGTGGTGTTCTCTCCTCCACCTCCAATGTGGAATTGTTGTAGCAGATTGAACTATTTCCCATATTGTTCCTTAGACAGATTAAGAGGGGGATTCATGGTGTTGTTGTCACTGCACCCTTGAGAAGTCGTTCCATCATCCTTGACTGATATGGATTCAACTGGTGCACCATACACATTAGCTGAAATCCTCTTGCCCTTATTGAACCTAGGATTAAAGTTGTTGTTTTGAGGATAACCATGCAACTTAAAGCTCTTATCTTTGGTATGTTCTGGACGCTTGCAATAGTCGCAGAATGGACGAGGTCTGCTATTTGGATAATTCCCAGTTGAATAATTGGTTTTGAAATTGTCACTTCTAGGTGCATTGGCATTCAAAGAAGTAGATTCCATTATAGGTAAGTTGTTGTTCCTAAAAGTATTGACATTCATAGACACTGATTCCATCACAAGCAAATTATTTGGTCTGACTTCCCTTTGTTTTTCCTTTCAATCAGTAGAGAAAATGCTTGAGCTCACTGATGGTAATGGATTCATCCTTAGAATACTACCATGCACAATTGAATACACCTCATTCAGTCCCATTAAAAATTGAATCAGACGCCTGTCCTGTTCAGCCTTCTGCATAAACTCTTTGGCTCCACAAGTGCATTGGCAGCTACACTGAGATTTGGCACTCAAATTATTTAGTTCTTCCCTTAGCTTTTTCATCTTTGTGTAATAGCTTGTGATGCCAAGGATTCCTTGAGAAGTCGTTGATTTCCTTCTGAATTTGGTATAGTTTGGTTCCATTGGTTTGATCATAGCGGTCCTCTAACTCTTTCCATAATTCTGCTACATCATTGGCATATTCTACGCTGTCTGCAATATCCTTAGCTAGGGAATTCAAGATCCACGAAGTAACCATGTCGTCACAATGCATCCACTGATGAAGAGACGGGGAATCTAGTTCTGGACGTTTGCACTCACCATTGATGAAGCCTAACTCGTTCTTCACTGAAAGAGCACGAAGGACACTTCTTCTCCAAGATCGATAACCGATATCGTTGAAAGGAGTCATCACTAACATTGCACCAGGATTATCTGACGGGTGCATGTAAAAAGGGGCAATTCGGATCGATGCTGGGTTCAGAAATGGGGGCAGAAGCAGAAGTACTTGAGCCGATGCCGGACTCGTCACTTTGATCGAGAATAGCCATGTATCAATTTGGGAGAAGAAAAATAGTCAAAATTGAAAAATTAGGGCAAAATCGAAACTCCCGATTTTGTGATGAAAATCACGATCCAACAGGAATTGAGAAGTAGGATCTAATTGAGCAAAGCTTTGATACCATGTTAAGTAGAAGAAGACACAGCAAACCTCGAGCTCAGACTTGAGCTCCCACTGTGGAGCCTAGAAGCTTCGATCGAGAGGGAGAGAGAGAGAGAGAGAGAGAGAGGAGTCTGAGAGGAGACAATTTAGAAATGAACTGTTTAAACTCATTAGATCAATATGTGAGTACATATATACACACGTGGGTCTTCCATTCAATACATGTAACAAACTAACTATTGATGGCTAAGCTAATAACAGTAAATGAATTAAGAACACATAAATACATAGCTCAATAGTGGACATTTATAGTAGCATATCCAAATTATAGACTTAACTTGTATATAGTTGCAGTCTGAAGATATTTTATGTTTCAATATACTTTAACTATTTATAGCAAATAATATACCTTATTATTGGGTACCAAATTAAGCTTATTATTACCAATTACTTGTAAATGCTTTTAACCTTAAATTGATAGTGCGAAAAACTTATGAAGCACTTAAAATTTATACCATTGTACCCTATAAGTGTAAATGATTACTTACTATTTAGCTGGTTACTAATTCATACTTATTACAAAAAGTTAGCTATAAATATTACATTCATTTAGCAAATACGAAAAAATTTGCTAATGGCTAAATAAATTGAGCTTGGATAATGCTTGGACTACAAATAAATTTAAACAATTATAAACTAGACAAAAAAAATTCCATTTATAGAGAAATCCAATCGTCAAAATCAATAAAAAGACCATCGTGGACCAAGATCCAAACGGGTCAATCTTGTTGGGAGGTACTGCCCAAGGAAAGGAAAAGGTTACTTCCGGATCAAAAATAATAAATAAAATAGAAACAAGATAAAATCTTATATCAAAACGACTAGCAATATATTGCATATTAAGAAGTTATAGGAAAATAAAGTTGCAGTAAAAGAAAAAGTTAAATGAGTATGCAAAAGTATTAACGTGTATAATGTGTATAACGAGAAACGACGTCGTTATGGATTTGCCGTTTGCTGACGCGCTTGTATAATCACCGTCCTTTTGCTCGAAGCAAAAGCCACCACGCTTTGTTCAGACAGGAACCATACTTTCGCTAACATTCCATTGGTACTGCTATTATACTACTAGTAATAATTTACAATAAATCAACAAATAAAGAAGATAGGAACTAGCAGCAGATTAATTCTTCAGCATAAATCAAGCAAAAAATGGAGCTTTGAAACACTTCAAGATTGCAACTTTTTGCTTCAATGGAGTGTTTTCTCCCAACCCCTTTTTCATTTTCTTCTTCTTTTTCCTCACAAAGCTGGTTTTTTCCATTTCTAGTACTAAAAAGTAGTAGTAAACTTGGTTTCAACAGAAAATTATGTAGCTTTAACAGAAATGGAAGCAGGTGCATGAGTATGAGTGGTGAAATGGAAAACTCTGTTTTATCTTACAAGAAGTTGATTCACTTTGCTTTAGAAGAAACCAGCTCACATACCCATTTGGTCCCTGCTCCATTACAGGTATATATATTTTGGATTTTCATTATTTTACACTACCTTTCTTTATGTTTGTGCTGAGCATGTGTGTGTGTGTGTGTATTTTTCTTTCCTGTGTTTGGTGTGAATTTGCTGGGTTTGATGGTTTTGCAAATTCTTGAAGAAGGATTTTACCAAACAAATTATTGAGTTGATGAAGTACTATACCCTGCTGGTTTGTACTTCCATTTGTTAGTTTTGACTAGTTGATGCACTAAAGTTTCTACTTTAAGATGCAATGTCAATTGGGACAATTTAGCTGTGTTGTTGAATCAAAAAGGTGTTTCGAGACAGGAATGCTTAGGGCAGAGAGTTAGGTTAATTGTTATCAAATCAGAAGTATTAAACAAACTTGAACTCTTAACTTGTTTTAGTTCGTGTATGGTGTAAAACCCTTGTTGGAATATGTTCTTATTCAGTCTAACTAGAGCTTATGCTCAAGGATGTCGCCTAATAGTTAATGAAGTGGATGAAAACTATGGGAGATCAAGGTTCAAATCTCAATAGAGACAAAACTCGCTAGGCGATCTCTTATAGGGCTTGGTGAGTAGAATTACCGGTATATCTGTTAGTGGGAGGTAGCATTTACCTGGTAGAATAGTTAGAGATGTGTGCAATCTAGTTTGGACAGCACTATTATCCCAAAAAATGAGCTTACACGATATTTTGTTGGACGAAGATAAGAGGGGTTAGAGGTATTTCCCGTGTTTGGGTTAGGAAATAAAAGGAAAGATGAGGTAGAAATGGAGGCATATGTTACTTTTTTCACATTAATGTTTCTATTCTCTGCTAGAAGTGGATTGAAAGGAGGAAATAAGTGTTCTTTATTTTATTTCAGTTGCACCAAACAACTGAAGAGGAAGAATGAATACTTATCCTAGTGGAAGCAAAAGAAATGGTAGTCCTCCTTTTCCTTGAAACAAAAATAGGTTAATGCTACTCTGTTAAAGGACAAGGTAATCTTTTCTTGGATCAAAGTGTCAACTTGTTAGAATATGAAAAATACCCCTTCAATTGTAGGCTGTGTGGTAGTTGATGGTATGATGTCTTGCAGCATAAATATGTAAAGGGGTTAAACTGGGGACGGGAATAAGGAGCACTGGGTTCGGAAATATCAAGGTAGCTCAAATAATGAAGGGTGCTGGCAGGTATATAATCTTTATCTTTTAATGACGGAGGTGGGAAAAGGTACTACATTCTCTCACTTAAGGTGATTCTATAAGTAGGGATAAGTTAATGGTGGTGCAAGCACATAAAGCATAAATGAACACAGAAATAGAAAATAGTTGGAAACTGAATATGTGTGTATCAAATAGTTATTGTGCTTCTTGCATAACACCAAATGATTTCTTCCCATACGTCTAGGCCTTGGTGAGCAGGAGTTGCTCGGTACATGTGTTGGTGAGAAGTATAGTGGAATAGTGTAGGTGCACGTAAGCTGGTGTGGACATCACCACTAAAAGGGTTGCCGGGTGCACAAAGCATCCGGTGTTCACGTAGGGTCCGGGGGAGGGCCACACCGGGTATAATGTAGGCAGCCTACCTTGACACAAGCATCAATGACTGGTGACTGATTCCACAGCTCGAACCCGTGACCTATAGCGCACACGGAAACAACTTTACCGTTGCTCCAGACATCACCATTACCAAAAAGAAAAAGACTAGAAGTGAATATGTCATCCTCGCATAAATAAGCTAGTTGAGTGCTGATTTCTTTGGTGATTGCTCATTGTACTGGTCAAATTGTTCTTCCCTTTGGAACACTGGCACTATGTGAGGGCAGACTTGCTTTTCAACTCTAAACCAGCCACACCTAATTGTTTTCAGCTTCCCTTTGCTTTGAAATGCATGATTTTGCATGCTGCAGCTTCCCTGGCTCAAGCTTTTTGCTTATCTCTATTTTTTAGTTATGATTTTCATGATATCTCTAGGAGTTTAAGTTGCCTTTGGAGTTCACCTGTTCACTTCAACTCTTTAGTCTTTAAATATATTCAAGTTTTCTTACCTTTTCATCCAAAATAAAATTATATCAAGCTTCCAATTTGCAGCTGTTAAGGTTATCTACAGAACTATTCCTAGCAAAATGTGGTTAACCTTTTCCTATCTACAGGAGAAATACAGCTCTTTATTGGCCATGGATGACGAAACGGAGCTACAGATGCTGTCTTTTGAAGCCCCTAAAATTCGACTTCTTCGCAGTTTGTGTATTGAAGGGAGCGATGGCATGCAGGTTCAATTATGTTCAAGTTCACGTTGTAGCTATCAATTATGTTCAAGTTCATGTTCAACTAAATGAAGGGCATTTCATGCAGGTATTGGATTTTGCTGCATTCCCAAAACCGGAATTTGATCTCCCTATCTTCTGTGCGAACTTTTTCACTGCAGCTAAGATGAACATAATTGTACTGTAAGCTATTCTTTTAGGTGGTATTTGAGAAGTATGTTACCTTTAAGCTGCATATATAACCTTCAGAAGTGTACTATAATGTCAAGTAAGAAAATAAATGGCAAATAGTTTCAGCATCTAGAGAACGTATGTAGGGATTCTGAGGTGGAGAATGCTTGAAGTTAAATCTTCTTCCTTCCCAATAATAGATGAAGTTTGGTATTGAAAAGAGAAGTACTGAAGCGAAAGACAAGCTGTCTTCTAGTCAAATGAAAAGGAAAACTGAAACATCTTTTTGATGGAGAAAAGAAGTAATGATTGAAAGAGAATTAAATATCAAGGAAACAAAATTATATAAAATTGCTAGAGCTTGGATGATGCTTTGATGGTCATTCTCAGTGTCAGAGCCAAGATTTACACTAAAGGGGGTCAAAATATAAAAGAAGTAAATCAACAGTTAGTGAAAAGACTTACACTTTGCATCTGTGGCAGATTCTCCAGTTGGGGACACACCGAAGCATTCCATTTCGGCGGGTTGAAAAAGCCATCACGGACTTGGATCTCCTTTTAGAAAGGGCTGGAAGACTCTTTTAGATTCGAAATACTTCGCACCCTCCATCCACTTCCATTTTCCTATGTGCCCAAAAGCCCGCCCGCCTGGTTTTTGAGACCCTTTCTTATTCCTCACCCAATCTCATGAGAAGCAATCCCAACAAGCCCGGCCTCAACCTGTCCTCGGGCAGCCAGTCCTCACCAGGCTGCTGGCATTGCTAAATGCTCCGCGATGAAGCAAGCTGAAAGGGGTGTCAATATATAGTGATATACATAAAAAATAATTTTACCTAGCTGCATAGTGTAATTTTCCGACAAAGGGGTGTCGACTGTCTATCCTTGAATACATGTGGCTCCGCCGCTGGTTATTCTGGATTCAGGCTTTTTAATCTTTTGATTGGAAGAATACACAAGAAATTTTGAGCATTTCAGTCTTTTGCTGATTTTATAATGTCCATTCATCTTACTAAAGAGTTTATAACTTACTTGGACGAGTGGTTTGTGCATCAGAAATCCCTTGTCTTGCATCCTCATGGGTTAAATGGAGAAGTAGTACTTTTTTTTTTTAAAAGGGAAAGGGGTAAATGGAGAAGTATCAGTCTATGTTTCACTGTTCATTTGTGGGGAAAGGCAAGTCGTTATCCTGCCTCTCGACAATACTTATTTGGCATTCATCACTTAATCTTGCCTATATATTCACGTATAGAAAAATGGCTTATGTTTTCACTACTGCCAGCCTATAAGCTTTATCAAAGCACCAGGATTTTCACTAAGGGGTGTCAAAATATAAAAAATTGAACACGCGGAAAATCCAAGGGGATTCAACATATAATATATGCATAAAATAAAAAATTTACCTAGCAACATAGTATAATTTTCCGGCAATGTGGCTCCGCCACCGAGTATAAATAATCAAGACTTCCGGATAACATTTTATTGCAGTAATTTTCACGTGAACTCAGATGTGTTTGCTAAACTACTACTATGATTAACTGACTTATGATTTCTGAGCTAGAACTAGGTAACATCGGTAGGCTATCTACATCACACCCTTGGGGTGCGGCCCTTTCCCGGACTGTGCGTGAAAATAGGATGCCTTGTGAGCCTGGCTGCCCAACTAGGTAACACCGCTTATTCTGGAAGAACTATAGCGAAGAAATGAATGGAAAAAAAAAATTCTTCTTTTTCACCATGTAGAAACATTCTCATAAAGACAATGCTTAGAGATGTCCTTGGTTATCTGTGTATATTGTTTGAATCGTAGTAGTCATTGATGTCAAAGACCACTGAGACCTAATCCTTATAAAAACATATGCAGGGACCTCAATCCATTGCATGATGTCATGGATCAAGAAGATTACAAAGAGAAGTACTATAAAGACTTGATTCCTCTAGGCCTCAAGTATTCTGAGGTAAATGATAATCTTACGTCATTTGCACAACTCTTCAAACTGAAAGCGCTTTTCTTCTGAACCCTCTCTAAATTTGATTATATGGCGACTTAACACAGACTTCATGCAGCTTTTACCCTGGGGAGGGAAGCTCACCAGTGAGTCACTGAAATTCTTTTCGCCAATAGTCATATGGACGAGATTCTCATCTAGCCCATACAACCATTCAGTTCTGTTTTCTGCATTCAAGGATTATTACAAGGTACCAGTAAACTATGTCCCATATTCTCCCTTTTATGTTATTACTCTTTTATATCTTAGTCTAGCACACTATATTTTTAGCTTCTTTTTTCAAAAGATTTTATACGCAAGTATGTGAGCTTAAGAAAGCCAGGTCTGTTCACTAAGCTTACTGCTTTATTTGTTTCTATTACAGGCATGGCTTGAGCTAACAGACAAATCAGAAGAGGAAACTGATGCTTCTCAAGTTGCTCGCAATCGTGAAGCTCAGCACAGATACTTGACATGGAGATCTGAAAAAGTGAGTATAGCTGTTCTCTTTTGTGCCTTCTCTTACATCAGTCCGACTTTTGGTTTGCTACCATGATTAGCTTAGAGTTCTGATATTGTCTTACAGCATACTGATATCCCAGTTGTAGAGGCAATAGTGAAGAAATAATTAATTGTAACCTCTCCCTCGCCCTTCCCCCGTCTTTCCTTGAACTGAAAATATGCTTTTTTTTTAAAAAAAAAGGTCTCGGTACGCTGGCCTAGTTCACCAACGGCATATACAATATCACGTGTTATGTGCCATGTCATGTTCATGCAGGTGTCCATATCCTTAACATGAAGTTAAAATCTAGTTAGAAACCTTGAACACATGGATCCAGCAAAGAATCTGAATCTTCATACGGCTTTTCTCATTTCTGTTGCTGCAACTTCTGCTCCTTTTTCTCCACTTTGCTCTTGTTCTTCTTGATCTCTCTATTGATGCAAATCCTTTATACCAGGATCCAGGTCATGGGGTTTTGAAAAGACTGGTAGGGGAAGCTCTTGCCAAGGTATTATTATTTTATTCAAAGACTCTCCTATGACTTGTTATTGGCAGCTCTAATAAGTCCTTTTTTGTCTCCTTTTTTTAAATCACTCAGGATGTGATTAGTGAATTCCTATTCAGTGGTGTTAACAAACTTGGTAGCAAAACATTTCTTGATTACTTTCCAGAGTACAGATGTGAAGATGGTAGAGTAAACGAAAAGCGAAGCATGATTGGAAAATCATTCGAAAGTCGACCATGGAATGCAAGAGGAGAATTCATAGGTAATAAAGTTAGCTAGTCTAATGTAATTTTTACAATTTTTTTTTTTTTTTACCTATTCACCAATTCTTGTCTATTGGAAACAGTCTCTTTGCCTTGGGTTTATTGTTGTTGTAGCTAGTCATCAATTCCAATTCGCTTGGGATTGAGTCGTAATTGTTGTAGTAGTAGTAGTAGTAGTCGCCGCCATCGTCTCTGTCAATGTATCTTGACTGGGATGCAAGAGGAGGAGATCCATAGGTGATAGGATTGGATCATCTGTTGTAAGCTCTCTTCATTTTTCTTTATTCAGTGTCTTTCAATGTAAAAGTGTCATTTCCCTCTAATTTATATGTTTCCTTAGGTTGGAATCTTTGTAACTGACGGAAGAAATAGACTCTAGATAGGATTTTCAATTGTAAATTTCATTCCTTGTGTCTATTTTCTGTACAGCAGCATGTTGCTATTTATGCAAGTATTTCAATGAATAAAAGAAATGCTAAATAAAAATAAAAATTCCCTAACTAACTCTGACAAATCTAACCAAATATGTACAGCTATACACTATCTAGAAGCTTCTAATATTCCCTAAGATAAGAACAGAAATTGATCAAAACAATTACAATCTGATGAGGCATTTTGGGCTTGAGAGAAGAAATGGCAATAAAGCCCAAATACTTGTTACATCCAAATTGTGTGGCTTAGGCCCAAAGTGCTTTAACCCAATAAGCATATTGAAGACTTCAGATATTTGCTTTAGTTTTCTCCGCTTCTTCCACCTTCTCTTCTAAAAACACTGCTCCGGCGGAGGCTCCGGCAACACCCCCCCTCAAGTGGGAGACCGGTGATCGGACTCCCAGCTTGCTCAAAAAGTGTCGATGAAGAGGACTGCCAAAGCTTTTGTCTTTTGTGAAAATATCTGCGATCTGGGAAGATGGTACAAAAGAAAGAGATATAAGACCATCAAGGAGTTTCTCACGAACAAAATGTCAAGCAAGTTCGATGTGCTTCGTTCTTTCATGAAAGACGGGATTTTTAGCAATATGGATGGCTGCTTGGTTATCACAGTGTAAGGAGACCGGCAAGGAAGGCGGAACAGAAAAATCTGCAAGAAGGCGAACAACCCAAGCTATTTCGGCAACAAGACGACTCATAGAACGGTATTCCGCTTCAGCCGAAGATAGAGAAATGACAGGTTGCTTCTTGGATTTCCAAGAGATTTTACAACCTCCAAAACTGAGAAAAAATCCACTGACAGACCTCCGGCTATCTGAGCAGGCTGCCCAATCGGCGTCACAATAAGCAAGGAGATGAAAGCTCTGCTCAGATGAGAGGAAAAGCCCAAGACCAGGATCATTTCGAATGTATCGAAGAGTATGTAAAGCTGCCTGAAGATGGCCAGAACATGGAGATTGCATAAATTGGCTAAGATGTTGCACAACATAAGCCAAATCAGGTCGAGTATGAGTCAAAAAATTCAACTTTCCCATTAATTTTCGATAAACAGTTGGATCCGGCAAAGGTTCACCACAATTTGATGAAAGTTTGACTGTGGGATCGAGTGGACTGGTGACGCGTCGATCTGCAAGAGAAGGATATTCGGAGAGTAAATCAAGGGCAAATTTGCGTTGAGTGACAAGCAGACCTCCAGGTTCATTCATAAGCTCCATGCCCAAAAAATAGCTTGCTTTTCCCAAGTCTTTGATTCTAAATTCAGAATTAAGGAATGATTTTAAGTCGCTAATTTCTCCCATGTCATTTCCAGTCAGCAAAATGTCGTCGACATATACGACTAGGATGGTGATCAGGCTTCCGGAAGATTTAACAAACATAGAGTAGTCATTGAGTGAAGAAATAAAACCTCGTGACCCCAAGGCAGATGAAAGACGAGCATACAACTGACGCGATGCCTGTTTGAGCCCATAAAGCGACTTGCGAAGTCGACAAACATGTGAAGGTGATGGAGAAGGAACTCAAGGAGGCAACTGCATAAACACTTCTTCACTCAAATCGCCGTGAAGAAATGCGTTGTTGACGTCCAATTGGCACAAAGACCAGTTCTTTTTGACAGCAATGCTCAAAAGACAACGGATGGTTGTCATTTTAACAACAGGTGAGAATGTCTCGGTATAATCAATTCCTTCCCTTTGCTTGTCTCCTCTGATTACCAAACGTGCTTTGAGACGTTCTAAGGATCCATCAGACTTTAATTTAACTTTATAAACCCATTTGCAGGGCAAGGCCTTTTTATCAACAGGTAGAGCTACTAAATCCCATGTGCGATTGGAATCAAGTGCCTCAAGTTCTTTTTGCATTGCAGCTTGCCAACCCGGGTGAAGAGATGCTTGCTGGTAAGAAACTGGCTCTGTAATCTGACAAATTGAATTTACTACATGCTGATTTTGTGGTGACATAGAAGTGAAAGAAAAAGAATGAAGAGGCATCAAAGGAGGATTGGGAGAAATGACTGAAAAAGCATTGTCACAAATGTAATCAGAAAGATAGGATGGTGCATTGTGTGTGCGTGAAGGTCTTCTAAGGCCTTCTGCTGGAGATAACACAACTGTTGGCACTGAATTATCTTGTGTAGGAGGTGAAAAACTAGAACAAGGGGAGGAGTGAGATGAGGTTGTAGAAGGAGGACATGGTATAGGAGAAGACGTGGCAGATTCGTGGCTAATAGATTGTGGAGATGGAGAAGAGTGAGAATCAGAAATCTGGGCTGTAGGTTGAAAAGGTGTTGTAGGAAAAGAAGAATGGTATGTTTGAGAAATAGGTTGACTAGGCAGAAAACTCTCACTTGGTGGAAAACAAGCTGGAAATAGCTTTGTTAAAGGTGTAGCATAAGCAAAAGGAAAAATGGACTCACAAAACTTCACATCCCGTGAAACAAGAATCTTATTTGACTGCAAATCTAGAATCTTGTATCCTTTTTCCCAAAAGGGTACCCTAAGAAAACACCTGGCAAAGCTCTAGGAGACATTTTGTCCCTATTTCTTGCTAAAGTATAAACAAAACAGAGACATCCAAAAGGTTTAAGATGAGTGTAGGATGGTAATTTGTTGTATAAAACCTGAAAAAGAGATTTACCATTTAAGACTTTAGAGGAAAATTTATTGACCAAATAGGTTGATGTTAACAGACAATCCCCCCAAAACTTCTTTGGAAGATGCGATTGGTATAATAAAGCACGACAAGTTTCCAAAAGATGCTTGTGTTTTCGTTCCACCACCCCATTTTGTTGAGGGGTGGCTGTGCATGAAGTTTGATGGATTATCCCTTTTGAAGAGAAATATTCTGATTGAATGTTCCCAGTCGCTAGCTCATAGGCATTGTCTGAACGAATGATTTTAACTTTGGTTGCAAATTGTCTTTCTACAAGAGCAAGAAAAGTTTTAAGGGCAGAAAAAGCATTAGACTTGGTAGATAAAAGAAATGTCCAGGTTCCTCTTGAAAAATCATCTACAATGGACAAAAAATATTTTTCCCCTTTGTAAGTAGGAACTTTGTAGGGTCCCCAAGTGTCAATGTGCAATAATTCAAAACAGTGCTTTGAGGTGATGCTACTAATAGGAAAGGGTAATTTGGTTTGTCGTGCCATAGGGCAAATCTCACAAGGAAACTCTTGGTGACTTTGCAGAGAATCAGAGATTCCATGTATCTTTCTCATAGCTGAATAAGGGAGATGGCCCAAACGATAATGCCACAGTTTGCTTGAACCAAAATTTTCAGAAACTGGATCTATTTTATTCATAGTAGAAACTTCATGGCAGGAAACACTGCCAGTTACAGACTCTAAAACAGACTCAGACCTTGGACAAGGAGACTCAATAACAGACTTAGACTCAACAAAACTACAAGAGTTAATAGGACTTCTAGGAACACTAGACTGAATGATACTAGACTTGGAAGCAATAGACTTGGATGGCTTGGATTGAGTTGTGTTATCTTCCAGCAGATGCACATAGAGGCCTGCTGATACTTCACCAAACATCAGAAGACTCTTCAGGAAAATGCCTGTAACAAGCAACCACACTTGTTAAAAATGACATTGCAATCTAATTGTTTACAAAATTGACTGACTGACATTAAATTGTGCTTGAAAGAGGGCACATATAGCACATTGTGCAACTCAATATCTGAAGATAAGTAAACACTACCCAGATAACAGACTCTTACTCTATAGGAATTTGGTAGATTAACAAAAACAGGAATAGTTAACTCTTTTATATCATGAAGAAGAGTTTTGTCAAAAGTCATTTGTTGTGAAGCTCCGGAGTCAATGATCCAAGGATTAGAAATTATAGAAGAAAAACAAGATGTAAAAGCATGCATAGCAGCATTTATACCAGCAAAGTTTGCAGTCACATTGATTTCAGAACCTGGGGCAACAGTAGTATTTGGTTGCACTGATTGTAGCATCTGAATCAGTTGGTCACATTGTTCTTTTGTGAATCCATGAGAGTATGTGACTGTTCCTGAGGAAGAACCTGAACCTTCTCCCTCCTTTATAGTCACTGCATTTGCTTGTCCATTACCATATGTCCTTTTAGGCTTAGTAAACTTGAAATTCTGAGGGTAGCCATGCAACTTGTAGCATTTATCCTTCTCATGCCCAGGTTTTTTGCAGTACTTGCAAAACAAATTGCTTCTTCTCATCTCCATGTTACTGCTCATATTGTTTCTATTGAACTCACTGTTGTTTCTTTGTACAGACCCTCTTGGTGTCATTGCATTGAAAGCTGCAGATTCAGAGGATACCTGAAGCACAGAGTGTACTTCCCTCTGTCTCTCTTCATGAAGGATTAGAGAGTAGGCCTGTGCTGTAGAAGGCAAGGGCTTCGTCATCAAGATGTTCCCTCGAATGGCAGAATAAACTTCATTCAATCCCATTAAAAACTGGATAAGCTGCTGATCTTCATTCATTTTGAAGTTATGTTCCTTGGCCCCACACTTGCATTCACATCTGCAAATCATGAAGGTATTCAGCTCCTTCAATTGATCCCAAATCCTTTTCATTTTTGTGAAATATCCAGAAACATCAGTGGTTCCTTGAGACATTCTGTTGAGTTCCCTTTGTAATTGGAACATTTTGGTTCCATCAGCTTCGCCATACCTTTGTTCTAACTCTTTCCATAAATCTTCTGCAGTTTGTGAATAGATCACACTCTCTGCAATGTCCTTACTTAGAGAGTTAAGCAACCATGCTATAACCATGTCATTACACCTTAACCATTGAGTGAACAAAGGCGTATCGGCAGATGGTTTTGAGCATTTTCCATTGACAAATCCCAGCTTATTTTTAGCTGAGAGAGAAATCAGAACCCCTCTTCTCCAATTTCCATAACTACTTCCATCAAAAATCGTATTGATCAGATTCATCCCAGGAGAATCTGTTGAATTGAGGAAGAAAGGATGAGAAGGATCGAGCTTCTCAGGGATTGTGACAACACCAGTAGCTGCTGGAGGAATTTCTGAAGGTGTGCTTGAATCTCCCATTTCAAAAAAAATACTACAAAGAAGAGCTGAAGCAGAAAAGAGAAATGAGACAAGAGTTGAAGAGAAAATTAAAAAAGCAAGGAAGAGATGGACAAAGCAAGGAAAAACGAAAAAGAAGAATCCTTCTAGAGTTGAAGCTCTGATACCATGACGGAAGAAATAGACTCTAGATAGGATTTTCAATTGTAAATTTCATTCCTTGTGTCTATTTTCTGTACAGCAGCATGTTGCTATTTATGCAAGTATTTCAATGAATAAAAGAAATGCTAAATAAAAATAAAAATCCCCTAACTAACTCTGACAAATCTAACCAAATATGTACAGCTATACACTATCTAGAAGCTTCTAATATTCCCTAAGATAAGAACAGAAATTGATCAAAACAATTACAATCTGATGAGGCATTTTGGGCTTGAGAGAAGAAATGGCAATAAGGCCCAAATACTTGTTACATCCAAATTGTGTGGCTTAGGCCCAAAGTGCTTTAACCCAATAAGCATATTGAAGACTTCAGATATTTGCTTTAGTTTTCTCCGCTTCTTCCACCTTCTCTTCTAAAAACACTGCTCCGGCGGAGGCTCCGGCAACAATAACTGCTGTGGTTTAATACTTGTGTAATTTCCATTTGTATATGGATTATTGATTTCTTTTGTGAAATTTGTTATCAAGATGGATCTTTCTTTAGATTGCGATAAACTTTAAATGTTCTCGGTATACACATAATTAAGAAGATAATCTCGATATAAAATTCAACATATTTTACATTGCATTTGTTTGGCATTTCTCTTTTTGGTACAAGCATTACCGATATAATTTTATATATCAATTTCCTTAACTATTTCATAACAGATTCAACATGGGATAAAACACCTAAAGACAAAAATAAGTCTTTGTTTCATCTTTATTTACTTATAAAAAAGAGTATAATCATAAGCTTTTATATTATATATCCCAATTGTAGGAAAGAACGAAACATTTGATAAAAGAAACTTAATCATCCATTAATTACTAATCTATATATTACAATCCTTGCATAATGTTGTTGGCGAACCACAATTCACAAGGATAGGGGGTTATAGGGTTGGGAAGTGCTTGAGAAATGGGGTAAATTGGGAATTACATATCTCCATCTCAAGCAACAAGTTAAGAAAACTTGTCATTAGACAAGACATCATAAGTATTCCAAAATCCAAATGTTCTTCGAAGGGAAAATGAGATTGTATAGCCGCTCATATATATATATATATATATATATATATACATACATTTTGTGTGTTATATACAAAAATTATACAAATTTTGTACACTTTCTCGGCTACTGAATGTAAATAGTTTCTGGAGCGGGCTAGAAGTGATAATACCCCACGTTTGAAAGGGGTAAAACTGTAGACACTTCAGTTTTTGGTTCTTTTTGTGGAAACTTGCAACATTTCTTATGCAGATACACAACACATATCAGAGAGATTTTAACAACCAAAAAAAGAAAAATGTAAAATCTTATAATATGCTTTTACATGATAGAACCAGAAAGCAGCAGCAAGGATCATGAATCTTTGCTCTGTAGGCATTCTTGGCTTCTATAGGCTCTTTCTTACTGTACGTTATCTACTACATACAAATATCATCACCTGCTGAAAAGAGTGCACATAGAGTTCAGGCAGTGGCTTTGACATTAGACAACTCGACAAGTGCTCAAAGAGCCATCTTAATATTACAGAAAATACACATAAAGCTGCATCATGTATGTTGCCATGGTAAAATTGTGTCCATAAAGGTAATAACAACAATAAGAACAACAACATTGCAGCTTCAATCCTAAGTAAGTTGTGGTCGGGTAGAAGAATCCTCATTGTCTATCTCGCTCCATTTAAGCCCATCAGAGTCCAATATTATAAACAATTAGTTTTCTAGCACCCAAAATTCTCTACATTTTCTATTGACATATTAATTATGTCAGACTAGAGGGTATTTGGATTGGCTTATAAACTAAAAGCCAAAATCCATAAGTTGGTAATACCCAACTTTTGGCTTTTGGCTTATTTTTCATGTTTAAAAGTAAGTGCATTTTAAGCACTTTTTACCAAGAAAGAGAAAACTCGACCTCTATGATAAAAACGGAACTCTAGTGTTGCGAGGGAGATGACTCACCTCAAAAAGGCAGCAATGGCTCTGATACCAAGTAGATTTTGAAAAAGCTTCTTGTATTTCTGCGTATTTCTTTCCCTAAGCAAAAGTATTTATACGCTAGGTCCTATGACTATTTTAGGAAGGGAAATAAATTATAATCAATTTACAATCAATTAGAATAAAATCAAATCTCAATCAGAATCAAATCTTTCCTAATAATTAAGTCAATCAACAAACATAGGCATTAAGATAGATCAACTATGTTCTGGCTCACAAATCCAATTATAATCGTTAGATAACTTGAAAAAAAAAGACGATTTAAGTGAAATAAGGCCCATCACATATTGGCTCATGTAAAGCAAAGTTTAGCCAGTAGCCTAAAATCCAAAATAAAGCTGGCTTTTGGGATCAACTATGGAAAACATTTACTTGACTACTATGAAGTTACCAGCAAGGGGTATAATGAGATGGTTGGGATCCTTTCACCATTAACAAGAGGTTTTGAGTTCAAGTCCTGAGAATGGAGAACCCCAAGGTAAAGAGTGCTTGACCCCCTTAGAGGAACTACCTTATGCGAATCCGTATTAGTCAGATTAGAGGGATACAAAATACCTAAAGTAAGAAAAATGACTACAATGAAGTTCCTCATCTCTTGGTGTCTTCAGAGGCGGATCAAGGATTTCTATTACATGGGTGCACTACTAAAAAAAAAGGAGAAAAAAATGTATCAAGTGGGTTGATCCATATACCACTTGCTAAATAACTCAACCTTCAACCAAGTGCACCATTCAACATTTTTGGAGCATGGGTGCCAACCGTAAATATTATACCAATTTTAGAAAATATATACATAAAATATCTAGTTTTACGGAGAGACCATGGGTTCACGTGCCCCATAACTATACCTATAAATTCGCCCCTGGGTGTCTGGGTATTTACTGTAACGCGCTTCACCCTTCACTTTTAAAGCTCAGGGAGGAATCAAAACTTTTAGTATCTATAATGTGTACAAGCAAAAGTTTAACATAGAAAAAGAAAAAAGCTGACTGCAATTTGTCCTTTCAGTGTTGATTAGCTCTAGTTTTAGTTCTCACTAAGCAGTGGTCAATGATGATTCATAAAGTGACCTCAACTTGTTTGGGACAGAGGTAGAGTAGTAGTTATAATATATGACTAAGCATGTAACCTACAATTTGTACTATTATACATTTCTGATTAATCAACTAACAATGTTCTAAATATTTAACAGTGTTTTAGTTCTTAAACCAAACGATCACTACTATGCTTTTATGCTAAGACACAGTTAGTTTAGTTTAGAAATTTCTTAAATTTGTCGATTAGAATGTTCAAAAGCACACAGATCTATTAATTGTGCTTATCACATATGACAAGAACCAAAATTCAGATTAATCCACAATTAAAGGACCAGAAGCGCAACAATCCCTAAGAAAGATTCAATTATCTACTATTGGTTGTAACTATCAAAACTAGAAATGTAGAACATCATAAAACTGAGGGGATCTAAAATCAATTAAAATTGTTAGAAAAATGCATAGATGCTAACAATGAGAGTCATCAGTGAACGTATATGTACATTCAGATAATGATAACTGTGACTGAATTAAGTAAAACAACGAAGAAATATGTGGCCCTTCTCTAGATCACCGCCAAGTGAAAACATATGGGTGACAATATCTATATCGACATAATAACTCATCAATCAAATCGTTGCGTATAGAATTAAGTGACTTACAGTTCAGTGTATGTGCATATATAAATTCAGAGCTTCCTCTCATAATCTGGATAAGAAATATAGTTGAACAGCAGTTAATTGTTCTGAGGAGCTCTAAATAACTCCTGCCACTTCAGTGGATCAGTTCCTGGTCCATCACCCTACATTATTTCATGGTTCAGTGGAAAGAAGTAATGATCTGAAAATTTGTTGTCCACAGAATATTGAATGAATGTCAACAACATTCAAGCACAAAACAAAGTATTAGCATTAGGTTTTGATGCCATTTCGATTGTTATGGGCATATCTTGAACCAGGCCCAAAATTATTTCTTTACTTTATCTCGAAAAGATTCTAGTTTGTGATCAAGGGCGACCAGGTATGAGAGAGGATAGGTTGCGGTAATAGTCAGAACAGAATCTGGCTACCATTCCTCTCCATTCCCAGCCCTTCCTGGTCCACATATATAATGCCTCATATCACCTCTCCAAGTTCAGTAACTTGGTTATAGCTGATTTACAATACAATGCTCAATTCTCAAGGAGATTACAGCCGACTTTGTACATGCTTCTCGTTATTACTTTCAATTTCAGATCATGTTTAATACCATTTTTGTCTTCTAACAATTCAATGCTACTTTGCAGATAATAACATATATTATCCATGAAGGCAATTAGTTTAAGAATATATGTATAGCTCAAGTAATTACCGGAATAGAATTTATTTCATAAATTTGTCCTTCTGTGAAGTCTATGTCGAGAGCCTGTATGCAAGCTTCTGCAACTACAAGCCTACTAACTTCTCCAACAAGTTTATCCCCTTGAAACATGCAAAAACAAATAAATATAGAACAAATAGATAAGAAAAACAAAACAAAAATATCTAGCGAAGGAGGAAAAAGTCAAGATTGCTTTCACATAAATTACACAAAACTATTCTCACATTGAATGAATCTTAAGGTTCTCAAATGCTTAGAAGACCCTATAGGTGTAGTAAGAAGATTGACCAAAGAAAGCTCTGAGTATGATGAAAAAGGATATCTGAACTGGGTGGTTTCTAGTTTCTACCCTATGGTTGGAGGTGGAAATGGAAGAAAAATGGGAATTTGCCCTTTTTACATTTGGTTTGACAAAAGCAAAGAGGAAATTATTATCAGTGAAATCCATGAATTTCTGGAGGGAAAAATCTAGAGATAATTTGAGAATATGGAAACCTTGAGACTTTAAGCTTAAGAAGCTTGATGTCGAGAAAAAAGCAGCAACAAATAACAGGTTTTTTGAAATTGAGTGTGCATAGATTGATAGTCTTTCAACTCTTTAGTCTTTATCTATCAAAACTAGTTCTTATTGTGTCCCATCTAGACACATGGAGATTAAACATAAAATTAGAATCTTGCGAAATTTACTTTGTCTGGAGAACAACTTTCTGAATTTTGAAATGATTACTGCAACTTCTGAAATGTGTCTCAATTCTCATTATTTTCAAGAAGCTTATCTAACATCTTTGGGTTGTTAAGGGTAAGTCCAATGTAACAAAATGGAGGGAAATAACATTCTAATTTGTCGACCAAATTTGCAGCATATGGGGACCTAATGAGACCCTTAAAAGATAATCCCTTCAGCTCATTACAGTTGCTAACATGAGAACTAAAAGATTAGATACCTTGACCTATTAAAACTGCACGCCGTTCGCCAGCAGTAGCTTGTAACAGTGTGTTCAAATCATATGATGTGTATGGACCATCTGTTAACCTACCAGCTCTGTATTTCAAATTGATGAATAAGCCAAAGCAGTACCTTTCCGAAATTTAAGTAGCAGCAAAAATATGAGATATTTAACATGTCGATTTAACTTGTATACATGGACAATGTGAAACCATCAGTGTAATTTCACCTGTTGTAGCAGGTTACCTACCCAATTTCAAGGTAACTGGTTCTACTTATTATAGGCAGTTGTGATTATCTTTTACATGACCTGATAGTTTAAAATTCTTTTACACTGTCAGTGTATGGAATTTAAATCTTAACATGTAGCTAGTAGAACACACCAAAATAGTTCGACTACCTGATTACGGTGAATGGAAGACCAGAACCGCGAACAAAATCCTCCCCCATCTTCTTATACTTGAGAACACCAAAAAGGTTCATGATGCTACAAAACAGAAGTTGGAAACAACATTATGTGAGAGGGAAAAAAAACAAAGAACCTACATCATTCTTAAGGATGGAAGAAATTTGCTTCTCAAGGAACAAACATAGTCACTATACATGCCCATATTTGGGAAATCATTAAACATGTGATACAGGTATCACAAAAATATTTGAGAAGAACACAGCAGATTTCAGAAACCACCAAATCTGATGCAAGTTTTTAATCTTGAAATCCATCAAAGATTTGACGAAATGATCCATGTAGCATTATCCAGAAAATGATGAGAACAGATTAATTTGATGAGCAACATTTTGTTTCAATAAAGCAGAGTAATCTAAAAGACATTCAAGACTTTAATTGAATCAAAACCTGAAAATACAAAAAGAAAATTAAACAGAACCTCTGCAGCAGACCTCTCAAGTTAGATAAAAACAAAACAAAACAAAACTTAATCCTAAATCAATACCACTATAACGCAAGTAGATTGAATTTGAACTCCACAAAAGGTAGCATTCAAAAGCTATCTGGATTCTTAGTTGGAAAAGAAGTTAACAGTGCCAAATCATTACTCTAAGTTTCTGTTTTTCAGATGCATACATGGAAGGCAACATCAACAAGAAATATATATAAATTGATAATCATTTGAGGAAGTCTAAATATGAGAGACGTTGTACCTCCAAGGCAACTCATTGAACTTTGTGACGCCAATTGATGAAACAAGAACAATTCTTTTTAGTGACTGAGGCAATGCTGACACAAGGTTTCTCACACCTTCCCAATCTACACAAACAAATGCATATATGTCACTGAGAAAGACTACTGGTACACGAACTTAGAGAAATTAGCTTCTAGAGCTAGAAAGAATACTGAAGAATCTATCAAAGTTGCTTTCAGTTTTATCAGATATAAAGAGACACAACAAGGACAAAGAAAACAACTCAGAACACGTTAATGAACCTATTAAAGAAACACAATCACAGTGCAGTTGATTGTACACCGATCCAACAACTAAAATATATATTGTAATCCTTTTAATAATTATAAAATACTTGACAGCAATTATAGAGACGTATAAAAAGTAAATATAGCAAAAGTTTTCAGTGGCTTAGTAAACAAAATAATTATGAATAGATCTCTTTTTTTGGATAAAGTAATTAGAATAGATTTCTATCTTTGGGTTCCTTCTTCACTTTTCTGTATTCATACTCATTCTATTCCTAACAGTACTTCATTTTATGTATTGCTTAATGAAACATCACGACATGGTTATATAAACCACCATATAAATATAGGCATCCCACTAGAAAGATTCTAACCTACTCTTTCTGGAGTGTTATCTCCATCCCATCGCCTAGATGGAAAAGCAGTGGTCCCAGTGCAGCAAATAACATGAGTTACACCCTGAAAGTTCAGTTGTGCACAGTCCAGCAGCAATGAGAAAGTTATTAAGCCATTTAAAGTTTTGAGGGAAGTCCAAGAAAGGTTCTAGGTGTGATGAACAAACCTCAAATACAGATGGATCTATGCCTGTAGGACTCCGTGTGTCACCTTTCCACACCTGTCATGTTCCGAGATAGTCTAAAGTTTGAGAAAAATATACCTTACCCAGCTAATTGGTGGGGGGGGGGGGGGGAGTTTTCACACAGCCATATAAGAATGAGACAAACCTGTAGCTTTTCCTCATCCTGTTCGCCAAACAGAGTAGTTGCTTTCTCAGGGTCTCGAAGAATGAGACGCAGTTTGACATTCCGATTGAGCAACGATGCTACTACTATCTGTCCTGCATCAGACACATAATACGAAAAGTTAACTTAAAAGAATCTTAACACGATACACTTTTCCTAATACAACCATATCCAGCCTAAATTATTTGATAAATGATACTTTTTAAGCAGATAAAAGAAGTTCTGACTAAACTGGTGATATGAAAAACTTTATCTTGGATTATACTCATTATATAGTGTGATACTACCATGTTAACATCACTATACAGTCTGTTCAGAGTAATCACAATTTATCTAATACGACAGGCATTCTCATTATTTATTGGGAAAAAGGTCAAAACTGCCCCTCTACTATTGTTTATTGGTTGCTTGTGCCTTCCGTTATACTTTTCGGTCATTCTCGCCCCTACCGTTAATGAACTTTGAATAAATACCCCTAACCCTAACGTTTAGACACTGTGGCAGCTGACCACATGAATTTTATCCAAGTCAGCTGCCATGTCAGCTTCCATGTCAGCGGGCCCACCAAATTAAAACCCCACAACACCCATTTCATACCATTGAATGGAAGTGTTCTCCTTTGTAATCCACATTTGCAAGAATGGGAGCTATCAGTGTAATTGGAGAACGGGTTGACCGCCACTCGAGTGATTTAATTCCTTTATTCACTTTTGTCTTAAGGTTAGCGATTTGCCAATTAAGAAAAAGAAAAAAGGAGTGCACTTTAGCTAATTTTGTTGCCTTAGTACATGAGGTGTTCGAAGAAATGCGCCAAAGAAAATTCAGTGCCCGGGTGCCCCTATGTCTCTTCCAGTTTTCCTGCTTTTGTGTTTCCCCTTTTGAAAAATTATATTTCTGGTTACCATTTAGTTAAATTAAGTTCTGTTGGGTTTTGGATGTGTTTAACTAATATATTAAATACTTAAAAGAGGGTGAATGGGAAATGGAGGGAAATACAATTTTTGAGCGAAATTTTAAAGTTCCCCCCTTGGCAAATGGGCATTGTCCCATATTGGAAGAGGAAGAGGTTTTTTATGAGTATATAAGCAATTGCTCTTCTTCTAGCTCTTAAAGAGTTGAGAAGAAGGCAAGCCTCGCGCCGTCGTCGTCGCTCGCTCGGCTCGGCTCGGCTTCGGATTCGGATTCGGATTCGGATTCGGATTTGGATTTGGTCAAATGATCGATTGATTGATTAACTTTTTGGACCAAATTTATTTGTTAATAGTAAAATATTAACAGAAATGTTATTAAATATTTGTTTTAATAACAAAATATTAATATTAAATATTAATATTAAATCCAATCCGTTTTTCTGTTTTGGTAACAGAAAAGTAACTACCCTCTTCAATTTTCCCTCTTTATTTTCCCTTTTTATTATTGAGTAAATGGCCATTTATGTAATGGCATTTATGTTGTGGGCGTTTTGCATAAACAACCATTCTGAAGAGTTGCACCCTCTTCAGATTTCAGCCTAACTTTGGCTATAAATACAACACTATTCTGCTCAGAATTTCACTACGATTTTCTGAGTTTCTTCTCCTTCTTCTGCATACTTTTAGCATCAAACAAAGCAAAAAGTAAGTGTGATTTGCTACCGAACTTTGTGTTCGCTGAAACACTGGGGTTTGAAGTACCACTACACCAGTATGTAATTCGTTCTATCCTGGGAGGAAATAATCCATAACCTTGGGTACTAGGAGGGGATTAAATTCCTTAAGGAAACACTGTGAATTCAGTGGGCTCGAATTGGTTTTATGTCATTTCTGTTTATGTTCATTTCTGTTTATACTCATTTATATTTCCAGAATTATTTTACAAATACAGTCTAGTAACAAGTTCAGCTTGATAGAGATGATCTATACGCTATTGCCTCATCCCTGTTTCTATTGTTGTCTTTGATAATATCCTGAAATTTTGTCCATTTCCATTTGCTAGAACTCTCCCACTTGGCATTATGAGGTCAATGGCAAAATTTCAGTTCACTGCCATGACTTGTAATTATGTTTCGCAAATGAATGGATCACAAAGGAGAACACTTCCGTTCAATGGTATGAAATGGGTATTGTGGGGTTTTAATTTGGTGGGCCCGCTGACATGGAAACTGACATGGCAGCTGACTTGGATAAAATTCATGTGGTCAGCTGCCACAGTGTCTAAACGTTAGGGTTAGGGGTATTTATTCAAAGTTCATTAACGGTAGGGGCGAGAATGGCCGAAAAGTATAACGGGTGGCACAAGCAACCAATAAACAATAGTAGAGAGGTAATTTTGACCTTTTTCCCTTATTTATTTAATAAATGGTAAATCAACCCCCTCCACACACACAAAAACACACACCAGAGGGGTCAATAATGGCTTTCCCACTTTTTTCTTTGGTGACTCAAACCCCCAACCACATTTTTGGAGGTGAAGGGCCATTTCCACTAGGCTATCCTTCAGTAATCCATGTTTTCCATCTCATGTGACTCGGTGAAACCTACAAGTTTGACATTTATGCAAGAAAAGTATATTGTAGCCCAAAAGTCAACGTCTTTCCCTCATGAGAAAGCAAGGTATTAAGTCTAATTCCTAGGTTGAATAATTCTTGAGCAACTACACCACGTCCCTCTGCTTCCTAATTATGATCCAGTGTACACATGATCAAATAAAAGATCCCTTTTTCTTTTCATTAATGAAACCCCTTAACTACAATTTCTTTTTTATTGGTCTGCGGGCTAGCTTGTATCAATAGAGTACCTACGACTTCCGATCAGTACAAGAACCACGCAAGTTTGTGAATGCTTAAGAAAAGAGGAATAATTCATCTAATTGTTGCCTCGATTTGCACCTTGATTCCGAAAATTGTTATTCCATCCCATCAACTGCCACATCACCCTATTAGGGCTTTGTTGATTACAATTATTACAAACTCAAATAAAAGGAGAAAAGTTTCTAGTCCATACGTCCTTAATTTTTGGTAGAGATTTGACTTATACCTACACTATCAGTGCAATTTAACCTGTTGTAAAAGGTTATTTTCCTTATCTTCAAGTTACTAATTCCACCGTTACAGGTAATTTGCACTACCTTTCAAGCGACCTAACAGTGTGAAATATTTAAAGTCTTTTAGTAGAGTGTCATAAGACTAGCAGTTTTATTTGATCAAGGCTAGGGAACAAAGGTCCTAGCACTCTCTATGCGCTAAGCAACCCGAAAATAACTACGATGAGCAAAGATCTTATCTCATTGATCATAATTATGAGAGCATAATGGTTTTGCCTCAAGTAATAAATAATTACTAAGGCTTGCCTTTCCACGCCAATAATGAAAATTTGTCTCAGAATTAACCACCAATTACAACTGTTGGTATTATTGTGTTAAAAATCAGAAAATTAGAGAAGCAGAGAAACATTAGTTTAATAAACAAAACAGAAAAAATAATTCCGAGCCACAAGTTGCTTGTGTGTCCTTAAGGAATTTAATCCCCTCACTGTTGCCCAAGGTTTTGGATTAATTCCTCCCAGTATAGAACGGAATAACTATTCTGCAATACTGGCAATCGAAATTACAGAATTTCAGCGAACTCAACAGACGGAGTAAATCACACTTGACTCTTATATTTATTTGAAAATAATGCAACAAAATAGAAAAGAGGGGAGAAATTTTCAGATTTTTCCATCTTTAAAAAATGAGGCCAAGCCTCTAAATTTATAGACAACGAAAGGGTGAGATGAAGAGGTGCAATCCAAGAGGTGCCTTTTCCATTTCTTATTCACACCCCCTTAATAAAAACGCAACAACAACTACTGCTGGTATTATGTTTTCAATTTCATATTTTTGTGTCATAGTAATAAGCTATTTGATTCAAAATTAAACGAAAGTAAAAGAGAGGGACAAGGACAATACCAACGCCGCCGGTGCCACCAACGACGAGAATAACTTTGGATGAAGAAGTAGGCGACGTTGATGACGGAGGAGAAGTTTTCGATTCTTCAGTCACAGCAGCTGAAACTGATACAGATCTGTGAGAATTGGATTTCAGATTCGATGAGAAAACCCTAGAAGAAGAAGGAAACTGCTGTAGGAGGGGGAATTGAGGAGAAAGTTGAGATTTCTGAGTGGAAATTGGAAGGTTCCAGAGAGGAGAAAGAGAGATTTTAGAAGCCATTGATGAAGAATAAGAAGAATTTGAGTGTGTGTGTAATGATAAGCGCGGGGAAGGTGATTGAGGGTTTTTTGTGGTGGTCGTTGGGTTTTGAAATTTGTGATTTTACTAGAACACCCTTGAAATTAGGAACATTCGGTTTGAAGTAATGGTGTTATTTTTGACAATTCATTTCCAGCCACAGCTTAAGATGCTGACTATTTTTTCTCTTAGAGTCCGTTTGGACATAAGAATTTTTTCACTTTTTTTCAAAATTAATTTTTTACCATAAAACTTCAAATTTTTACTTTAAGGTGAATTTTGGAATTTTTCGAAAATTAAAAAAATTTCAAAAAGTTATTTTTCAACTTTTTCACTCACAAAATTTAAAAATAACCCAAAATTTTATTCATGTCCAAATACAACTCTAATTTTCAATATTATTTTTACTTAAAAAAAAATCGTTTTTTTTTTGAAATTTTACAATTCTTATGTCCAAACGCCTACTTAATTTGCTTATAAATTTCCATCCCAATAGGCTTATGAAATTTATAAATTTTCTCTAACAAGTCTAAAGTTGCAGACTGTTAAGCCTAACTTCGGGCCTAGATGTGTGGATTTCAAATTGTACAAATAATACTACTAACTTAAGACATACATGTTTGAAGTTAGGCTTTGGCATATCCAAGTTGTTGTCTGGAGTTTTTGAAACTTAATTTTGAAGCGACTAACTTTAAAAATAATTTAAATTTTGATATCTATTGTGGTTGGGTCGTGAAGACAGTTGTTTGCCAAAATTTCACGTTATAGTCAGTTTTCGGACTGGTCAATCAAAAATAGCCAGCGTTTACCAAGTCAATAAAAAATAGCCACCATTTTGCTGCAATAGAGACCGGTCCAGCATAATATACTGGAGTTCGGTGCACTTGTGTATGAACTCCAGCATATTATGCTGGACCGATATACTTTGCTGGCTCCAGTATAATATACTGGACCATTATACTTGCTGGAACTCTAGTATATTATGCTGGAGTTCTAGTGTATTTATGCTGGAACTCCATCATATGATGCTGAAGTTCCAGCATACTATCCTGGAACTCCAGTATAATACGTTGGAGTTCAAGTATACTTATGCTGGAACTCCAGCATAATATACTGGAGTATTTTCTGGGTTTTAAACAGTGTTTTCGCTCAGATTTATCTTTACATAAAAGTGGCTAAATTTCGAGTACTTTTGAAATTGGGCTATTTTTGAACGACCAGTTGTAAATCTGACTATTTTTAAAAATCACCCCTGTTGTTTGAGTAGAAATGCTGTGGGATAGACACTTTTTAACATGGTATTTATTTTTTATTCAGTGTTTTTAATACTGAGTAAAAATAGCTACTACTCTATTAAAATTAATATGAAAAGATATTTTTATCCTTTCTTCGTGAGAACTGAATTGGGCAAAGTAATTCCGTTGATTTTAGCTTTCACATATTACTGGTGTTTCTCGCTATTGGTTAATGTTCTCAATCTCGTTTGTGGTTCTGTATTGCTTTGGATAAGTATTTCTCTTACCAGAATAAATGTCGTCTTCGATTTAATTTTCATGACTGTAAATATTAAGGACATGGTGTCCTTAATATTTACACCGCACACATGAAGTTAAGGACGTCATATCCTTAACATTTACACTGATCATATGAAGTTAAGGACATGAAGTTAAGGACATGATGTCCTAAAGGTTAACAACGAAAGGTGCAAATACATGACACTTTATCCTTATTATTTACACTGTATTCATGAAGTTAAGGCCACTATGTCATTAATATTTACCAATACTCATAAAGTTAAGGGCACTATGTCCTTAACATTACATTGCACACATGAAGTTAAGGACACCATGTCCTTAACATTTACACTGTACATATGAAGTTAAGGACATGACGTCCTAAAGTTTAACAGCAACAACATTTACACTGTCCTTAACATTTACACTGTTAACATTGTTGTCGTTGACATTATGTCCTTAACATTTATAGCGCACACATGAAGTTAAGGACACCATGTCCTTAACACTTACACTGTACATATGATGTTAAGGACATAATGTCCTAAAGTTTAATTACGAAAAGTGCAAATACAAGACACTTTGTCCTTAATGTTTACACAACATTCATGAAGTTAAGGACACCATGTCCTTAATATTTTACATAGCATTCATGAATTTAAGGACACAACGTCCTTAATATTTTACACAGCATTCATGGAGTTAAGGATACCATATCCTTAATATTTACACAATAACCATGTCTAACATAGGGTATTTTTGTCCGGGCGGGTAAAAGATTATTAAGCACCGATTAAAAAGTAAATACATCTTAAATAGTGAATAAAGAGTAAAGAGATCTTTAAATAGTGGCTAACCGTGCACTTCCTCCCTCATTGTTTGAGCACTTGCTCATATTTTAGGAGAGTTTACAAATTCAAAGCTAGAAAATAATTTCACCAAGTTGTTAAATTATTGTATCTCAATGAAAAAAGAATTATTGCACTACGAGGGTGGAATAAACCAAGTTGTTAATTCTTGCACTTTTAATCATAATCCATAAGTCTTGGGTCCGAAATAAGAATTTAAAAATTTCTGATAGAAAATATTTACTTCTTTACTAAGCCTTACGCAATACAAAATCAATAATTAGTTAGTTGAGTCTCAAAACAAATATGACCGGGAGAAAAATTGTGTCCTAACTCCTATACATTAAAATAAGGCAGGAATAAAGTAATCTTTGTTCTTGTTGGAGTAAATAATATTTCAGCAGATACAATTTGAGAAATTTTCAAACACACAAACCTAAAAAATAATAAGGCGTGCAAGTCCTGAAATAATGGAATCAAAACCGAGCAAACTCTCTCAATTTTCTTCCTCCACTTCAATGCAAGATTCAAGCTTTAAAATCCCTATTAATATGCCACCCGAACTCATCACTGAAATCCTCTTGAGGTAGCCAGTAACATCCCTCTTACAATTCAGGTGTGTTTCAAAATTTTGGCTCAGTTTAATCTCTAGCCCTGAATTTATCAAAACCCATCTCAATATATGTGCTAATGACAAGAATTACACCTACCATAAGCTTATGTTAGGGTTATCTTCACCAGAGCAAAATCTTAAGAACTGTTCTGTTACTTCTTTGCTTTATGACCCGGTTAGTACTGAAGCAATTGACTTAAATTATCCTTATAAAAATACCCATAAATTTCCTGGAAATCCTTTTATTGTGGGTTCTGTCAATGGGTTGATTTGTTTTTCCGTTGAGGGAACTGAATTCTTTCTGTGGAATCCGTCAATTAGGAAATTTAAGAAATTACCTGATTCTATAGATGGTTGTTCTTTTATGTATGGTTTTGGATATGATGAGCTTCATGATGATTATAAAATAGTGGGTATTGATCGCTGTTTGGGTCATGTCGGTTTTCGTCATGCTAAAGCCAAAATATTTAGTCTAAATAGTGATTCTTGGACAAGTGTAGATAATTTTCAGGAAGGGATAGTATTTATTAGGTCGAAGGGTATGTTTGTGAATGGGAAGCTTTATTGGACTAATAATAGTACTAATCGGAGGTTGCGTTATTATGATAGTTGGGGCATCGTTTCTATTGATTTGGCTGATGAGAAATGGGAAAAGGTGGAGAAGCCTTGCTATGGAGAAGGAGATTTTCGTTTTAGGTTGTCCTTGGGAGTGTTGGGAAGTGATCTTTCTCTGTTTTGTAATTATTGGAGTGGTCGTGTGGATTTGTGGGTTATGAAAGATGACGGGGTTAAAGAATCTTGGACAAGGATAGTTAACATCAATCGTCCTGATAATTATATAGCGCATTTGCTTTTTCCATTCTTTTGCAAGTCAAATGAAGGTGAAATTTTGTTCGACTGTGGATCATTTTTCATGATTTACAATCCGAAGGATGGCTTGAACAAATATCGAGAGGTTACCAACTGTGATGCTTTTTGCGACGCAAACATTTACGTTGAAAGCCTAATTTGGCCCTATTATAAAGATGGTGCCAAGGATGCAGCAACAACAAAGGCTCATATGAAGAAAATCATGTAATTAATAAATAGTAAGAGTTCTTTATGCATTTTTCTCAAGTGATGTTAAATTCTGTTTCTTTTATCTCAAAGACAACAAGACATTACATATTACATTCATCTTTGAACAATATCTGCTTGGAGATCTTTGTTAGTCCTCTTTCCTTTATGATGAAACAACAATTTCTTTAGCAAGAACGGTTATTTGGTTGAAGTGCTTGGTCGCGTTATATTCAAACTAATAGTACTCATCTTTGTTTCTCGTCTTGAGTAGCATTTGAAAGGGTATGTTGTGCCTCTGAACAAAGTAAGAATAAAGAGCACAAGGAACATGACATTCATGTAAGGTGAATGTGCCGATAACACCTAGGTGTAGCGCTTGCTACGGTTATTGTATGATCCAGGGCGCTTCTTAGTAAAAGGCACACTTTCGTAGGACTATGATCAGAATAGCTCCTAGGTAGGTGAATAATGTTAGCTTCTAAATGCAAGATCAATGAATTTACAGTGTCTGTGCAGCCTATAAACTTGCTAGCTCTAACATTATTAATAGGTAGTCCCCCAAAATTTTCACTTGTGGGGGTTATTTGATTAAAATCTCCTCCTATAGACCAGGCACCACTATAGCAGTCAGCAATGTTTTTTAAGTTATCCCACAATTTTATTCTGTTACTCAAGTTTGTGCTAATTTGTTTGGGACTAAGACATAGTTGTTGTACTCAAGTTTGTGCTACAACAAAATCGCCAAGGTGGTGAAGCGGGATTTACCTTGATCATAGCATGACTTCTTGGCTGGTTGTTCTAATTTGATCCAAATGTACCTCAGCATTATCGGTAAAGTTGAAGCATACCATCAGAAAATTGTGCACTTGTAGTCGGGTCTGCAGCAGTGCCACCACTGTTGGTATTTTCGAATCTATCATCGCCTAAACTTTCTTATTGAAGTCGGGATTACCTGCTCCCTGCAATTCTGTTATAAAATTCATGATTCTTGATGTGCTTGCACGGTCTTTCTCAAGGTTCAGGGTGGAGTTCACCTGTGTTGACAGTCTCCCCGCTTGGTTGGTGCTGCTGGCCTAAGTTCATTGTCGGTATCATTACTGCCGTAAATTTGTAGGGAGTTGGATTTGTTAAGGTTCTGATATTCAGAGAAAACTTTAAAGATTAGGGGGTAAATAGAACATACTTTTTTTCTGTTTGGTTTGAGGAACGTCGTGCTTAAGCTTTTTAAGTTCAGAATATCTAGACTTCTCTCAATGAGAACTACCTCTTCTTCCTCCTCTCGTATCAATGGCTGCTCCTGTTGAGGCTCATTTATGTTGAGAAAGGGGGCTGCTTGTTGCTGATTCATCGTATGTGTTGTGATCTAAGTTGCTTGTACTCTTCACTTTTGGTGCCTCACCCGTGTCGATATGATGTGGGTGCGTGATCACTACCGGATCTGGTCAGCCGATGTTGGGTACTTTGACCAAAATCGATTGAGAAATTTCGGATAGATACAATGATTTCTAAAATAAAAACAAAGCTAGGGTGAAATTTAAGAAAATGAAAAATCTTATATATAGAAATCTCTATGTCAGTTCTTTCCTTTTATCTTCTTCTTGGATTCTCTTCTTAATCAATATTTTCTCCTTCTCTACATAATTTCATAATTTAGACATATTTTTAAAATTCTACAACAACAAACCCAGTAGTTTCCTACGAGTGGGGTTTGGAGAGGGTAAGATGTACGCAGCCTTACCCCTACCCCTGGAAGTAGGGGTGGCAAAATGGTTAAAAGAAAACAGTTAATCACCCATATTATCCACTAAAAAATGGGTTGGATAATGAACTTTTTAAAAACGGGTCAAATATGGATAAAAAGCATATTATCCATTTAGAAAAATAGATAACCAATGGGTAACCAATGAATAACCAATGGGTATAACTTTTACATTTGTAAAGCCTCAAATTGGGGGTTTCTCAAGTTAGTGAGTCTAAGTATTATCCCAAAAGTGATCATATGCAAGAAGTCATGGATAATATGGTTACTAATATTATCCACCAGTTAACCCGTTTTTTATCCGTATTAAATACGAGTCGGATCGGATAATTTATCCGTTTTTTCATTACACGTTTTCGACCCGAACCATATCCGCCCCGCCCCGCCCGTTTGCCACTCCTACCTGGAAGGCCAGAGAGGTTGTTTCCGATAGACCCTCAGCTAGAGAACGACTGAAAAAGAAAAGGTGATTGCAACAAGTAGGAATAACATCAAGATAAAATAAGATCGAATCCAAGAATGCAGTTAAAACTCTATTTTTAGATATTTGAATTGTTTTTAGCCGAATTCTCGCCCCCGTATCTATACCTGGATCTGTAGCATGAATCTTAAAATTTAGATCATGAAGGATCCGACCTTTAGATTCGCAACCATATCAGACACCCGCGGCCGACTCCGAGCAACTTAGGTTGTGATCATAATGGTCTGCTATGAAGTTGATACATAATGCTGTGGTATGGTTTCTAGGCCAGATGCTCCTCCTTTGTCTTGTTGATCTTCTCTCTTCAGTGTTGCTTAGCATGTTTGTTTCTTTCTTAAGTGACTTGTGTGTATCTAAGCTCATTGATGATTAAATCATTTATAAAGGTTTCAAAGATGGAATTTTTGCTTGATATTTGTGTAGAATTTATTGTGGTGGTAAGGTTTGAAGAAGTATGGTTGCTTTCATTGTAGGATGGTTCTTTGTTAGTTTGTGATTTTTTTGGTGAGGTCTAGGGAAGATTTTTAATAGCTGGGTTTGGAGTTGATTCACATCCACAAGCAACCAACTTCAGATTCTCCTTAAGGCACCGTGTTGAGTAAGGATTTGAATAGAAACTCTATTTTGGAGCTCAATGTTGCTGGACTCTACCCCGCACCCCAGACTCGCTCCGCTCTATGCCTAAAGCTACCCTTGAGACCTACAAGCTCCTAAAGCAAAGCAAGAAATAGACAGACTTTAAGAGCCCGTTTGGCCATGAATTTTTTTTTTCCGAAATTTTTTCACTATCTTTCGAAATCAGTGTTTGGTCATAAAATTTTTAATTTTCGCTTGAAGATGAATTATGGAATTTCAAAAAATTGAAAAACTGCAAAAAACCATTTTTCAAAATTTTCACTCAGATCACTCAAAAAAATTCAAAAACAATCGAAATTATATTCATGTCCACACACAATTTTAATTTTGAAATACTATATTCACTTGAATTTTTTTTTTACTTTCTTTTCGACATTTTACAATTCTTATGTCCAAACGCGCACTTAGACGAGGGCATCTTGAACCCCTCTCCCTAGGGTCGAGTTGGCCCATATATTCTTTTATTAGAAGTGTCCATCCGGCTATTTTGCTTAAGAGAGGTGTGTGTTTGTTTGATCATTGTGATGACTTGGGTTTCTTAGGGTGGTTCTTCATTCATGTTGTTGAATTAATAGTAGTGCTGAAGAGAGAAGTTAGAGAGTCTCTATCCAAACCAATCCTTCAATATTTTCCATACGCAATCCTTTGTATTTCCCATACGCAATCCTTTGTATAGACGTTGGATGAGAGGTTATTCCTTTGTCTCTCAAATGCACCAAGCATGGCATACCAAAATTTTCATCAAACCCAAATGTTTGCTTGTTTTTATGTATTCAATAAGTGTGCCAAATGAACCATCTTAAAAGGGAAAAGACTAGGCATTTGGAACTTTAGGGTGTGTTTGGTACGAAAGAAAATGTTTTCCTTGAAAAATAAGTGATTTTCTTATTTACTTTCTGATGTTTGGTTAGGCAACAACAAATATTTTTGAAAAATATATAATTTAGGCAAACAATAAATGAGACAAAATGGGTAAATACAGGGAGGATGGTAGGTCGGGTTCTAGGGGCCGGAGTGCTGGTGGCAATTTTAGAGGAGGATTGGGGTGGGCAGGGGGTGGGGGTGAGGGGAAAATAGGACGGGGAAGGTTGAGAAAGAGTTTTATAAAATATTTTCATTTCTTTTGTTAGGTAAGTCATTTTACTCCAAATGGAGGAACATGAGCTCATGAGGAAAATATTTTCCATAATATTTAAGCCAACCAAACATAGGAAAATTAGAAAATACTTTTCAGAAAATGTTTTTGTTCATGCCAAACACCCTTGTCGTAGCATATCATGCAGATCTCTAACTCTCAAGCATTGCAAAATTAATAAGTGATTCTTCCATTCATCCAGTTGAGTGAGCTAAGGATAAACCAGAACAAATTCTAATCTATACATTGATTCTTCTGATTTCCATAAAAATAAAGTTTTAAATTTATATATTTTGATAATATAAGAGGGTTTATATTACCAGTATAAAGTTTTAAATAGTCGGGCTAACTTGATAACTATCTTCATTCTACCTATCTTGTTAAATTATTCTCTTTTTTTAGGGGGGGGAGGGGGGTAGGGTTTCTTTATGCAGGGGCGGATCCAGTGCATTAGTTACGGGTTCCTGTGAACCCAGTAACTTTTGCCTAGATTCTGTATTTGTATTGAAAAATTTATCAAATGTATAAGAATGTTTAGCTTGGAACCCAGTTATTATTGTATATTAACTTGAGATTTCTATAGGAACCCATAAACTTAAAATCCTGAATCCGCCTCTGTCTTTATGCTACACAGTCATAGTCATAGAGGAGCAGTTTTTCTACTGTTGAAATAGTTATTTATTAGAATTGCAAGTATAGTTTTCTACTTTTTTTAGAAAAGGCAAATATTGCTGCTTTTGAATAATCTGTAGGAGAAAGAGGAGCAGCCTACTCCTTTTTGTAGCGAATAAGTTAAAATCTGCAAATAACATCTTATTCTTTTTTAATATTGAAGAAATATATTGTGGTTTCTCACCTAAAATTAAATACCAGGTTTTGTGTTTAAAAGGTTTTGAACCTGTGACGTATGTCTTTTTGTGTTTTAAAAGGTTTCGAATATGTTATATATGCCTAACCTACACATCACGTGCTACGTCCTTACCCCAATGAGCCCAAAGCCTTGCCGACAGAACTGTCTACACATAATGATACCAAAAAGGCAGCTCGATGCACGAATAATACTAAAAGGACAGCTCGATGCACGACCCGCTATGCATGGGATCAAAGGAGCATCGAAATGATACTAAAAGGACAACTAAAATGGCAGCTCAATGCACGAATGATACTAAAAGGACAGCTCGATGCGGGTCTCGGCCTAATCTAGTGGCTTTGGTGCAAATTATATATTTGTCTTAAGAAATTCATCAGATATGTATAAATTATTAATTTAGAACTCAGTAACATAAAAAATTTAAAATCCGAACCCATAAGCTTCGAATCTTGGCTCCGCCTCTGTATGAGATTCGGAAAAGGACTAGAACACATTGAGTCTTATGTACGCAACCTTCCCTTGCAATTATGAAAGAGGTTATTTCCGCGATTTGAGCCATTAACCTCCTGGTCACATGAGGACAACTTCTACTGTTGCGTCAAGGCTACCCTTCATCTACTTACTATGATACTGATTTTAGTAATTCTATGATAGACAATCAGAATGCTATATTACCTTAGAGAACTAAAACATGCAGAAAATTATGAACTGTATACAAAGAGAGAGGGCAACAACAAGACTATTAGAAAGATTACAATTTCCATGACAAGTTTCACTACACTAAAGTTCCTTCCTACAAAGTGCATTACAAAAGAGAAGCAAAGAGGAAACTATTTAAGTTCCCCTTGATTGTAATACTTGGTCTAAATCTCACCTCCTACATCTCCATGCAGATACTGAGAAAAGAGCGCGATCTTGCCAGCAAATCACCACACAACCATTCTCTTCTTTAATCTTGTATCCTTCACAACTATAACTCTGCAACAATCTCCTTGCCTGCAACATTGCATAATAACTCAGAGGCACATTCTTGAAACCGGCTCCATCGAATCTTTGAAACCATTTATCCAGCTTTTCGTGCCTTTCCTTCCGCTCGACTCCCTCACACGCTACAATATTCTTGATCTCCTCGCCGAATAGCATTTTCTCAACCTTTAATCGCTCTAATGATGTTCTCTGTAGTGTGAACTCAAGACAATCGAATAATGCAGCGTAAAAATACAATGACTCGGATAGCCTTTCCATAAGTGTTGTTCCGTTGTGGTTCGAGTCTTGTTCTGTGACCACCATGACCTTCGGAGACAAACCCCACAACGCGTGGAGGAATCCGTCCATCTTTGCTGATGGAGTTGGAGATAGTGGAGATGAAGATGCCGATTCGTTGCCTGGACTAAAAACATTAGCGGTTTCCTTTTCGAGCAAGTCCCCTAAAGTATTTTGGTTGAGTAATGCCCTTTGCAAGTGAAGGCCATTCATATGCTTGAGACCCAAAGGAGATTTCTTTTGGGGTTCATCTTCATGTGCAAGAAGAGTGTGCAATTGCATAACTGAACTAATCGCCAACGCCTCCCCGGTTTTAACTCGTAGTTTCTCGACATCAAGATTCTCCAATTTGCTAACTACCTGATGGAACTGAAAAGGGATATCCAACTTTTCTGCTTCTTCTGTTAGAACATGTGCTATTTGCTCTAACACTTCCTTTTGCTGATGAACCCCCGTAACCCGCAAATGGGGCGGTCCTTCAGGGCGCGCGCTCAAGTCCTGAAGCAGCGCGCGCCACTGAAGGGGTTCAGAAGCATTGAGATCAACTATATGAACCATTTTTTCTCCTTCCATAGCTTCGATGATCGCCTGATTCGTGATCAAAGAAGCTACTTTCAAGAACGGAAAGTA